GAGGTTCGACTTCGAAATCCCACATCAGATCAAATTCATACAGAGCGACGACTGCATCAGATGTTACAAGAATACAAGGATTATGAGATAGGACCACCACCATTACCAGTCGAGCGTGATCAATTGAGCTTATCTAAACTCATGGATGTTGAAAGGGGCTTTGGGAATGTCAACAAAAGTAATGAAAAACTGCGTCGACCCCAAGTATCAATTGAGAATTAGAATGATAGAGATTATTTGGTTATAAATATAAAAAGTCAAGATAGACCCAAGCTCATGTTTGACACAATATGTGTTTTGACGGATATAGGTTATGATGTGCTTCATGGCTTTGTTAGCTGTAATGAATTAGTGACATTTCAGGTAATTAATCAATTTTGAATTATGAATAGACTTTTATAAAAGTTATTTACATTTTTAATATTTTGCAATGCAGGAATATTTTGTGCGAGGGATGAATGGACATATAATGCTAAATGAGATTGAGAAACAAAAAGTGATTCGAAGTTTGGCAGCAGCTGTTGAGCGAAGAATGTCTAGAGTATATAAATACATTTGTATTTTTTTAATAATAAAAATTTATTTTCTTAGCATGTTTAATCTATGCATATTTGTTAATGAATGTAAGGAATAAAGATGGAGGTGCACACGTTTGACCGACATGGTCTCCTTTCAGTCTTGAGTAGAACATTGCAACAGAATAACATGTCATTCAAAACTGCAGAGTTTGCAAAAGATGATTGCTTGGCCGTCGGAACATTCTACATTACTGACAACGATGAAAACAATATTAATCAACAAAAGGTGAAGATGTTGGAAGATGAACTCGGAAAAGACAGTTTCGTTGAAAAAAAGAATGATCATAATATTAATTCAACGATTCATGGGAGATGGAACTTTTTTTCTGCATTTTGTTCTCTCGGGAGGAGTTTGTGGTCTCACATCAAACGCATCTTCAGCATCTTCAATTTCTTTAAATAGAATTTGTTTTCTTTTTTTTAATTATAAATATGTCTTTTTTTAAAATAAATTTTATAATAGTTTTATTAATTCATGTGTAGCAATTCAATTGCCAACTCCTTTTTTTTTTATCCTAATTTAGGTAGATTGGTGCTCCTTTTATGAATTAATTCCCGATTGTTGCTGAAATTTAACATGCCCAATCTATTCACGGATTTATGCTCTAACTTCTTTCTTTTCAAATAATTTCCTCAACACATTATTACACGCATTATTTACATTTATATTACTCAATTCCTATTTATCTATTAATCTCAGCAACATGGGATTAATACTTCAATAACAGAAATCATCGAATAAATATGAAAAAAAAAACTTGAGAGGAATATCATTATCTTGAAATGAAATCAGTTTATCGAAACCGAAGTTCTTGTCGTGAGCATCGACGGAGAGGAATATCACCGTAATTTTTGTAGCGTGTCTGACAAAGTATGTTCGAGAACCTGTTTTATAAAACATATTGTGGAATGATAAATGGGTCATTAAAGCTCTAAAAGAAAAAAAAAAAAAAACAACCAAATTTTTTTTAATTTATTCTAAACCTAAATTTGGTCAAATTGATTATTTTGAAATATGAAAATGATTCATAATAAATTTAGTCTTCAAAAAACAAAGGAAATTTTTCAAACATTTATAAATATAAATATAAAGAGCCTTTTGCTTTCTCATCCATTGATGTGTTAAAAATTTTTTTAATTTTTTATCTTAAATTATATCTTACATGTAATTCTATAAATAGAAACCTACCTATTTTTAGGTGCTAACATTTTATTTGATTTTGAAAAAAATAAGAGAAAAAAATGAAAGATAAATTTTAGCTTAAGAAAATTTATTGGGAGAATTAAATAAATGAAAAAATCTTGTAAATTTATTAAAATAGTAATTAGGAAGAAAATATAACAATTATGCCTAATTATAGGGAGCTATTTGTTCCAAAGCTTCTTCTAATTACTTTTGTTTTGCTTTCTTTCCTTAAAAACGCAATGTTAGTTATCAAGAAAATTATTTTATGATGAAATCATATTTTTAATCATAATATTAAAAAGTGAGTTCAAATCATTTTCTTTTATTTGAATTAAAAAATCAATTACATAGCACCGAAGTAAACTAGCTTATTTCATTGAGAACAAAGTAATAAAGATAAATAAGATTTTATAAAAAATTATCACCAAATGTTAAATAAATTTATAACTGCTATTTGATTATCTAGAAAAATATTTTTTTTCATGAGATTGTTTATTTCATAATTTTAATAAATGAATGTAAATAAAATTAAATTAAAATGAAATAAAAATTCATTTTTCTTAGAAAAATTAAAAGCAAATAATATTCTCAATCCCAACGCTGGCCATCAATCTGAACTATAATTCCTGTAAGAAAATATGCAAAATAGTTCTGATTCATATTCCTTTCTCCTTTTGCATTTGAATCCATAAATTCCACTTTTCATTTGTAAGTAGAGATGTTGAAAAGATGACAATTCATTCAAATAAAATTTTGATATAATTTTTTTTATAAATTAACATCTACAGATATAATAATGACTCGTAATTTTTCTTACTACTACCATGACTTTATTCATCGCTCACAATACATACCTCCACTCGAGTAAGTTTTCTCTAATGTATCTATTATCTACTTGATCTTTACTTTATTTAAGTAAAACTTAGAAAAATATTAATTGTTATTACAGGGTTTGTATTGATAATGAAACATCTGATGATTATACTCTTGTCAAGGTATTATGTTTGTTTTTTATTAGTAAAATAAGTTTTATTATCTTGGCATACAACATATTTATATCTATTAATAAAAAATAAATATTTTTTTCTTTGTTTGATTAAATGCAGATCAACGGTGCAAGCAAACACATCATTCTCCTTAAAATAGTTCAAATTCTAAGGGATTTGGATCTTATCATCTCCAAATCATTAATTTCATCTGATAGTGATTGGTTCATGGACGACTTCCATGTCACCAATCATCATGGTAATAAACTCAAAGACCCCTGGTCGTTCGTTTTGCGCCGCCTACCTTTCTTTTGTCATTTGCTTGATGCCATCATTGTTGTTAAGGGGTCGCTAGTTTGTTTTCCGTTATGTTGCCCTCTTTTCCAAATAATTTTCCATCTCAGATCATGTAAGTGAACTAAGAGATAAAAAATCATATCACTGGGGCAAGCAATACTGGGAAATATATGGAAAGCCTTCATAAAGTGAACTTTCCTATCGATAGTTCTAAAGCATAAATCCAAAGTGAGATCAACTCAATATACTTTAAAGATATAACTGTGAAGGAGACCTTACGAAAGCTAACTACTAGTTAAATTCAAGTTGAAGTGCATGTCTTAGAGTTCACATCATTCTATAAGAACATATCCCTATAGTTAATTACACATTAAGTAGTCAATCCTACTTAAGAAAACTCCCGATTGAGGTCATAATTTTTTCTAAAAAAGTTCAAATGTCATTGTCAAGAAAAAAGAATGTCAAAGTTTTTTTTCAGATTCCTAAAGATTCTAAATTATTCTAGAATTTTATTATGTTGTTGATGGGTTTTTAAGGTTTATCCTTTTGCTCTGGGTTTTGAATGTTCATCCCAACAAAATAATGTTAGCAGACTCTAATAACACGCAAAGTAAATCACGACGTGGGAGCTAGTATTGTCCCATCGTGGCATTCCACAATACTTGCTACCACGTCATGACCTGCAACGAGTAACTCAACTAGCAAATCAGATTTGTCGTCGAGACAATTAGAAAAATGCAAATACAAATGCACAATAATCAAAAGATGACAAACATTTTCCGCTAGCATATAGTGTGTATACTAGTGGCGAACGCCCCGACAGTGCCGAATGATGCATACAAAACATATAACACAATTGACAATGAGTGTGTCATGGAGACAAAACCCGAATAGTGGGTGTGCCGTGGAGGCAGTGGCCCGGAGGGGCACCTATGACAGTCTGAAGCGGTGTCGTAGGGAGTGAAAGAATGTAACTCCTGCCGGAGGGAATTACACAAAGAATTTGATATTTTAGGAGCAGAAAAAGACCAAATTGCCCATCCATATAAATAAAAATTGAATTTGATGGGAGGCAATTGCCCGTCCTGGACTCTACGTGGGTCTATCCCTGGTTTTGAGTGCCATGTATGTAAAACCCCATATTTATAAAATGTGACTAATCAATTAATATTTAGTTTACCCTAATCTCAGCGTAAGTTTAATTTCAAATTGATTGTGACTAAAATTTTGATCAAAATATTTTGAGAAAAAAAAAAATACTCACCGACCCCACTTTTTTCGAAGCTTAGATGAGAGATGATTGTTTAAGAGAAAAAGAACAACACGTTATAATATGATTGAATATAATGTTATTTGTCCCAATAAGGATGATATAGTTTTTACAAACAAAATATATATATATATATATATATATGATTTTTTT